GGGGGGCTGCAATTAATCTTGTGTAGCCCTGCAATGGGGGGAGCTGTGGGCGTTGAACTAGGCATCACTATGTTGCCTCCCTCATCTTCGTCTCTTTATTACTGTTCCCAACTATCTGCAGTAAACAGCCAGTTTGTAGCTGTGGCTCAGCTGCCAATAACTTACAGACCAGAAAAGGGCAGGAGGTGGGTGGAAGAGGCAGCGATGATACCAAAGCCAAATAAGCCCCTGCAGGACAGACAGCATGGGGATCTGATTTGCAGGCTCCCCAGAAATACAGCTAGACTCCACCTGAGGAGCTCCAGCCCCGCCACGCAGAGCTCAGGAAGATGCCTACAACCCATTCATGGCCTCCCTTCGCTGACAATGTGATTCATTTTTCCAGATAGGCAATGGTCCTTTAAGCAATGGGAAGGAAAAAGGAAGCTTCTAGAAAGAAAAGTCTGTGCCCACACAAGATGTAACTGTGGGGAGGCAGAAGTAAAGCTTCTAGTCCAGGATCTGCCCTCTCCCTTTAAATAAGTGAGATTCCCTCCCTGACCCCAGGATCTCCAGGTATGAACTGAGAGAACTTAGTAAGATTGATTCTTGAAGACCCTCTGGCTTTACCATTCTCCTTAAGGGCCCAAAGACTCCCCCAAGAGAGGCCGATGCTAACTGTGGATGAGTTCACCAAATTCTCCAAACTGAGACCCAGGTAATGAAACAATGCCATAGACTCAAGGAACACGGGCAATTGGTTTTTAGTTTGTTTTGATCTCCTTCCTAACCAGCAATTGCAGGTAGGGGACAACCATTTTCTCCCACCCCAAGTTTACATACAACTTAAGTGCAGACCCAGCTTGCTCTCCTTTGCAATAAATGCCTCAACTCAACAAAACAGTCACAACCTTCACCAGAGTCAGAGGACTCGGCAGTAAAGGCAGAAGGTTTCCTTGTGACATTGGAAAAGTGGCACCCGGAAGGCGAAGGGCTGGCGGGCTAAGATAGAACATTCTAGGTAACAGAAGAACAAGAAGCACCGTACCCAGCAGGTCCAACTCTGTCTGGTTTTAGATGCTGAAAAGAAGCCCAGAAAGGGAAAGTGAGTTATCTACGGAGGCACAGCAACTTAAGAACAGGGCTGGGAGGGCATTGATATTTGCTTGGTTTGTTACTTGCAATTCTTCCCCCCCAAGACATGGCTTTACTTCTCAAAACTGTGGGATTCTGGCCATCAGAACTAATCATTTCATTTGTAGCTGTTGCCTATACCCCCATCTCAAAAGAAAACAACCATTTCATTTCATGCTAACGATGGCTATTTCCACCAAATTATAGTAAACCATTCACCTGACAGTATAGATAGGCCAGTGAAAATTAAGCGGGCATTATTGATCATTGCTAATGAATCACCCTGTGGAGAACAGAGAAAGTCAACCACCTTCGGGAGGCCAGACGCCTGTTCTTGCTCCAGTACAGCGTTTGCCTATTAAAGAACATTAGACATCAGCTCTAAATAGTCAACAGGGTATACCGTTGCAAATTCCGTGAAGTGCAGCTTTAAATAGATTGGGTTTGGAAGTGGGACAGGGAGTACACCACAGTCAAGGGAGCAACACGGAACGTGGAGAAAAACAGTGATTACACTCCTTAATAGGATACCTGTTGACACACCGACTGTCAAGTCTAATTATTTATTTAAACTGCTATTCTTTCTTCATTACTGCCACGGTAACCAATTATTACCAGAATATTCTTTTAAACCTCTACAGCGAGGCCTAGAGTATTTCCGTCTCCACCCTCCACAAGGTCATTGCTGTTGTTGAGCCTTCTCTTCCCGGCAGCCCCACTTACACAGAGCGGCACGGAGATACAGACAACCATGCAGAGCAGAGAGATGGGTGTCAACAGACACATGAGTAGACAAAATCATTCTCTCAAAGAGTAATGTTCTGTAACCTTCCAGGGTTTGCTTAAACTTCCCTTTACAGTCCCTGGGCAGTAAAAATGACGGGCACACTCAGCTGTTCACTGGTCACAGAAAGATTGGCGGTTCGAGTTCCAACAGAGCTGTGTCAAAAGAAAAGCTAGGTGATGTACTTCCCAAAAAATCAGCCCTGGAAAGCCCTATCAGGCACCCTGATGCCCATTGAGCTGCTATTGTCAGAATGAACTTTGTCACCATTTGGAGATGAATCTCAGTGTGGGGGACATGGTGACCCACTTTGTCAAGCTAATTCTATTAATATTTCACAATTGGCACTCAGTGTAGGGTGGGGACGATAACCCCAGTTTTTAAAATAAACAAGACAGCTCTCTGCCTCACAGAGTTATCAAAAATAAATATGAATAATACCGTGTGCGTGTTCATAGCATATTCTTTTCAGATATCTTTATCCGTTAGACAATGCATTAGAAAGAAGTTTGCACCGGGGAGCTGTGTCCTGGATAAGAGCCAAAAGAGACAGGAACCCCTGGTGCATCTTTTGCAATTGCCTCTTTATATAACCCTCTCTTTCACTGATCAGAGGATAAAATCTAAACAACTCAAGTGGCTGCTCTGCCGCATATAATTATAGACGTCCATACGTCACCACAATCGTTTCAGACGATGGGCTTTTACTTCCTGTACGTGGGGATTCACTGCGAGAAGCATACTAACCTAACACACCGACTTCTACTCAGCTTTAACTCGGGAATGTCCGCAAACACAGGGAAGTACCGGCAGACTTTTATTCGTTCAAGGCTCTAGGTAGCTGATGTTGTTCGTGGTTCAAGATGATGAAAACAACACATCAAAGGGATGGAAAAATATTGAGGACATAAATGTTTACATTGATTTAAATGCTGCTATCAAATCTGCCATTCTTTCATAGGGCCTATAGTTGGAAACAACTTATGACATCATCTTTTGGGGGGAGTAAGGTATCTGAGATTCCATAGAACACAGCAGAATTACACTAGGGGGTGAACGTATCACTTGTTTATCTGCAAACGAAAACGCACCATGTCACTTAGTAGAGAAGTAACCCCTCTTGGCCCCCTAGGCAGCACACGGCAGTCAGCAAGAACAAGCACCTTACAAAAGGTGGCCAAAGGAGTCAAGAAAAGAGTGGCTGGCCCGTTTTCTAAGAAACGTTGGTATGATGTGAAAGCACCAGCTATGTGAGATAACAAACACTGGGGACACTCGTTACCAGGCCTCAGGGGACCAACATGGCATCTGACGGTCTCAAGAGCCAGGCTTCTGAAGGGAGGCGTGAGGAGCTGCAGAATGAGGAAACTACCTTTAGAAAACCGAAGCGGGTTTCTGAGGATGTTCAGGACAAAGACGTCCTGACCCACTCCCGTGGCCTGGATCTTACGTGGCATGCAGCGTGCTCCGTGGTCAGAAACTGGCAGCCCATGACGGAAGCTCGTGTGGCTGTCATCAAGAGTGCTGAGGGCTGGCTCCTTTGTCTGTTCTGCGTTACTTTGACTGACAAAACGCAGCAATCGCATCCGGAAGACCTCTCGTGCTCACACCAGCAGGTCCACAAAATTCAAAAGAAAATGATGGAAATCAGGAGCTGAAAGATGAAGACATCTGACTTGACAGCAGTGGCCGATCGCTCGCTTGATCTCAGACAGCCTCGGGAAAGACCTAGAAAAGGCTTGCCAATCAATTCGTCTGCTCCATGAGGTGCTCATCCGAAATGCGGAAATGCCGAAGAAGCCTGAGTTTGCATTGGGAAAACATGGAAAATGCGTGGAGCTTCTTGGTAAAGGTGGGAGTTCGGGAAAAGCTCCCGGAGTTGAGGCGGGTACCAAAGTGGGATGGGCTAATGGCTCTAGTGCAAGAATCTGTGTAGAACTTAGATTTTGAATGGCGAGAAATGAAAAATTTATGGCAAAAAAATGTTTTTAAGTAACGTGCTTCTTAAAAAAAGTAAAACAAAGCAAAAAGAGAGTAACTGGCCTCTCTTTTCCTAGCAATTTTAAGACAAGAAATTCTTCTTCTCCAAAGTTCATTACCTTTGCAAAGGTTCCCCCTTCTCACCCCCTCCCCCCAGAAAGTGCACAGACAGACGCTGTGGGTCCAGGGTTTCAAAAGGCTCTAGCTCATGTTGTTGTTAGGATTTTTGTTGTTGCTGTTATAGTTTTAGATTGTATTCTGTTGAACAGCTGAGAATCACGTAAGCGACTAGACTAGTGAAGTGCGGACTCTTTAGCACCAGACAGCACAGTGTGGTAAGACATTTACTGGGACAAGGACTACGAAGGTGTTCTGCCCTCTTGCCATGAAGTAGCTAAGGAAACAATCAGACAACCAATAGGACATTCTAGGACACAGTACATTATGGACACTTAGCAAATAGCCACTAAATCTCCTGTGTTGTTCAGATTTAATGTGTCGTTTTTAAAAACTCAATTAAAAAAAATTTTTAAGATAGCAAATCTTAAGGAGAGGAATTGAAAGGGTAATTTTGATCCAGAAGACATATAAGTATGTAGATCAATGTCCAGGAAATTTTTCAGATTTTGTTGTTTGTGAACTACCTGGTTATTTCAATGTTGGGAACAAAACCAACCTGGAACATTATTGGGTAAGACATGTATTAGCATTTCAGAAACATACAGAGACTGATCGTCTCTTACCTCAGATAGCTAGCTCCTAGGATCTTCAATGAAGACAGGTCAGGGTTCAGCCAACTGCAATGCTGAAGTCTGTCAATGAAATAGGTAGAAGTTATTTAGGGGAAATTCAACCTGCATTTATTCATTATGAATCATAACTCCTACTTAGACAGCATTTTTTGTTTTGTTTTACTTTTAAAAACATTTCGCATTCGTTCATTCATCTCATTGCAACTACAAGTAAGCCTGTGATGCAGAAGGAGAGGGATTCTTCCACTCACTCCACAGGGGAGGAGACAGAAACCCAGGAGGGGCAGCATAAAGACAGGAACTAGCACATATGGTGATCCTAATGTGCTGACTCGTTTCCCGATGCTCTCTACCATCAACTTCACAAACACATGCGTATCATGGTCCTTATTTTACAGACGTGAAAACTGAAGTTTGAGAAACACAAGTAACTTTGCCAATTCAATGCACTTAGTATGGTGTGTGTGTAGGGCCTGAGTCTACCTCCTGGTCTAGAGGGGTCCTTGATACTCCAGCCTTCCACCATTTGTTCACACCAAATCAAAAGCACTGCCATTGAGGCCATCCCCACTCAGAGTGGACTCGACAGCCCCTCAGGCGGAAGTCGCCAACACTGCACTTAGCAGGCCTACATTTTACCCATGACACTGCCTGGGCTCCTTCCATTCATTGCTCAGCTAAGGAAATGTGAGGTTTAACAATTAGTTGGTTCAATCCAGCAAGCCTGAGGGACTTATGAGGTAAAACCAGCTATTTGATTAGCATAGGGAAACAGAAAAGGCACAGGGGATTTCGAGCCAGCTACTTCTTACCAAGTGGCCCTAGGCAAATTACTTAATCTCACTAACTGTAAATTTCCTCATGTGTGCATGAGGATTAGAATAGCTACTTCATAGCCAAAGCTTTTCTAACTTACATTTTTTAGAAGCTTTTCCTCCATTATTACATCTTTATAGACATGGAGTCAGTAGTATGAGAAATTAGAACATTTTTCTGTTAACTGATCAAAGGATGATGATAAGGACACACAGCTAAAGAATGCCTCTGGATTGAGCATTTGATTCATGTCCCCAGTTTCAAAACACCACACTTTTATCTGTGTCAATCATATCTGGCCTCCCATTAAAAACAAACAGCACAAAAAATATTTTTAAAAATTATTTTAACACTTCATTGACATATAATTCACATGCCATACAATCCAATGGTTTGGACATAATAAAGAGTTGTGCAATCCTCACCACACTAAATCTTGAAACTTTTTCATTATTGTATTATTGTTTGCTCTCCATTCCCCTGGCCCCTGACTCCCCTTCCATAACCGTAAGGAATTATTCATGTGGTTACTATCTCTAAAGATTTACCTATCCTGGATTTCACATAAAGGAAAGCAGACTAAACCCCCTCCCAACATCAACAGAATACAACACAGAAAAACTTTGATCCCAAAGAAGGCAACATAAAAACTAGAACAAATTAAAAATGAGTAAAAGAGAAAAGAAATACTAAGATGTTAAATCTGAACCTAACTATATCTGTATGAATTCCCTTTCCAATACACTCCATCTGAGGGCAAGGCTATTCACAGCCATGGTCAATTGTCCTATGGAATTCAAGGTAAGCGTAATCCCTGTGGAGACTTTGCAAAGGGATTTTTGGCTTTTGCCAGCACCCATGGCTTTCTGCAAGCCTAGTGCTCAGAATTTAAGCTCTGATACAATTCCCTCCTCTGATCTTGGATTTTATTATTTACAAGCCTTAGATCACAGGGGTTGGTGTACTACTTCCATGTGGACTTACAGAACAGCACAAAGAACTTTTGTTCTGAAGGACAAGAGCTCAGAAATTTTAAAGAAAAACATATGCTCTCAAACTCCCTCACCCAAGAAAAAAAGAAGGCACTGTTTTTTATACAATGAAGATCATTGTAATGTGTGTGCTTTATCATGACTTAGATTCAGAGAGATGAAACTCTCAGGCTGACTACAGAAACATTGTAAAGTAACATTTAAAATGCATTTTTCATACTGCATTCAAATCAGATTCAGAAAAGACCAGGGTTGATAGGGTACTCCAAGAAATTCTTGCCATCTGCCACTAAAATTCAGCACTAATAAAAACCATCTCAAGTGAAATCTTGCTGCCCCCATTTTACCAATAAGGAAGCCATACTTCAAAGATCACATATTGCAACATGAAGGAGATTAAAAGTATCTTGACACCAAAGTCAGTACACACCCGTCTGATAATACAGTGCAGCTTCTAATTTATGAGCAAGCTATTTTGAAGCCTTTTTAATTTTGGTGTTGGCAAAGAACATTGAAATTGTACCATCAACTTCCAGGAGAATGAGCAAATCTGCCTTGGACGAAGTACAGCCCGAACGTTCCTTAGAAATCAAGACTCCATCGCACATGCTTAGCAAATGTCAACGAGTGAGACCCAAGTGGTTAGAGAGGGATAGGGTGCTCGGCGGAGAGTTCGTGAAAAAGAACAAAACCATCAAAGAGATAAATGGACAAAGTGGCCGCTACAACCATGGCCTCAAACATAGCCAGAAGTGTGAGGCTAGCACAGGACCTCGCAGGGTTTCATTCTGTAACTTGGAGGCCACTTGATGGTATCTAATTACAATGCACAACATCATGAAGGTGTAAGTCAAAACCTTGAAGAAAGATAAAATGGGCATGGACTAACATGAAAATTAACAGCCAAAGTACCAAAAGTTGTATTAAGACGTCTGCGTTCTGCTTCACTGGCAAATGAAAAGAGAAAGAGAGAGAGAGAGAGAAGACATATCTGTGGTCTAACCAGAAGGTAACACCTTCCTGAGACAGAAGGGAGGTTTGATGCAAAATCACCATGAACACTTTCTCAACTCTCCTTGGCCAAGTTTCCGAGATCCAACCAGCCACAGAAAGAGCAAGGCTCTGAACCGCTGCGTATTACCCAGCAGTAAGTTGGGGCTTGTAGCTTAATAGTTCACCAGGCTCTCATTAAGCGGTTCAGCTCTCGTGTCACGCCTGGTATTTCATAAAACAGCCAGATTCTTCCCTAGGACCCAAACACAATTGAGAAATCCCAATCTGGTCTCTTGGCAATGGTGCCAAGGAACCTTGGCTACCTTCTGGTATTTTATCACTTTGGTCCAGCACCTTTATCAAAACATCCATCCATTCCCAGAGGATTCTCAGCCCTGGAGGTTACTTAACAAACAAGTCTGTGTAACCAACTTGCAAGACTTCAGACTACCCATTAAGATCTATGTCGAAGTGAGACTCCTCAGACCTAACTGGGGATGCTACAGGATGACTGATGCTTTGTACTAAACTTTGGCTAGAACTAGAGGTGGCAATGTAGAAAGGAGGAGGAATGACGAAGAAGTAGTGTGGGCGGGGGCACGGGGGGAATGGAGAAAAGGACTTATTTCAAGAGGATTGGTATTCTTTGACTCTGCCAGCATACCCAGGAGGTCAATGTTCCACAGCACAAGGCACCGAATACTGTCACTAACATTACGAACAAGAATTACAACGTGAGTTTTTTCTGCAGAACAAATAAGCAATATGGCAGAGTCTTATAAACACTGATGTCAAGACAGTGTATCTGTAACTCTGTAGCCCTACGGCCCCAGATGTTCTGAAACTAGAGTACCATCTGTTGAACAACACAGAAATGAGGACCCAGGTTCTGAACTTCGTTGTATGATTGCCAAATCACTGCAATCACATGTTGCAGAAAATTCAGCGTTTCCTTTTTCTCTTTTCACAGATCTTGGCCTTGCTTATCCCTACACCCCTGTGAAAAGGTCAAGATTTATTTTGACTGAACTTTGTGTACGTTGGTATGCTTCCTCTGGTAAAGGTAAGAGAATGACTTCTAGCAAGATTAGTTTAAATTGCAGAATGCAATTTAATTCAGAACATGACTGTTAGGAACTCAGCTCCCAGAAACAATTGATGTGTTAGGTTGGGTCAAGGGCATCAAGTGCCACACATGGAATATTTTCCAACTTGGCCCCGAGTTCCTTCTGAAGAGGCTTTTTAAATGCATTCTCTCACCTGCCACCCTGAGATATTTATCAAGAACACACATATTCCATAGCTTATGAATGATTTGGTGGTCTCATTAAAGTAATGTTTGCCAGCATTTAATTGCTTCCCTCCCTGATTTTAATTTCCTCACCTGTCAGCATCTATCAGAGGCACAGAGATCTTCTGACATGCTGGCTGATTGTGTTGAAATTAATCAGATTTTTAAAAAGCAAATTGCTTTGGCCTACAGGTAATACACAACTTCTTAATGTGATGCTTTAAGTATTCTATCAATGGAACTTAGGCTTTAGGATCCCAAAAGTCTCTCATTTAACTCCCAGATGATAAATTCCCTTTCCATACATTGAAATGAGAAAAAGCAATACCTTAAAAAGAAAATAAGTAAGTATGTGCACTTGCCAGCCAGTAGATTCTTCAAGATAAACACAAGAGAGTAAGGTCTAAAGTTATCTTGGAAATCTGGGGACAGATGAAAATGAATTAAATTGAACTCACAATCAGGTCACTCACAAGGTAGGTATCCTGGAACAGCTGTGTGCACACATAGGAGAGAGTTTTCTCTCCTCCACCGCCCACTGAAGGACACCTGTCAGACACCTGTCAGTGTTAGTGGTAGCAGCGCTTCCCCGGGACAAGAGATGGAGTCAAGGCCCAGAGGGATAAAGGACTCCCAGACACCTAATGATGGGCAGGCCTGATCTTGTGATCTAAATAAAGTCAGACAAGGTAGCATGAAGAAAATCTCTTTGCAAAACCCCCATATACAATTATTCAGTGTTAATGTTTGTGCTAATGCGGAACGGTAACAGTGCTTAAGACACTCGGCCAGCAGTTCGACAAGAAGTGGCGGATACAAAAATACTTGATAATCTGTCCTCCTAGTATGACATTTTTTTTTTAACGTACTTAATGTTGCTATTCTGACTTGAGAATATGCTAGCAGCAGATAACATGCAATAATTAGTTCCTTTAAAAGCGAACCTATCATATTACCACGCCGGCCAC